AGGGCAAGAAAACACTTATAGTAGCTAATTTTGAAATTTAGTGATTCCAATCAATAGTAGCTAATTTTGAAATTTAGTGAAAATATATAACACATCATATGATAGGCTTCTTAACTTTCTGTTGGATAGACACTTTGTGCATCGTGTGTGTTATAAGATGATATCTTAGTATTTTATTTATTTTGGTCAAACCCTTGAAATAACAAACAGTGGAGCCACATAAATTCATACCCTATTACGACACCTCTTCTATTGGGGATAAGGGTCATCTATGGTGTATATTTATAATAATAAAAAAGTTGCATACTTGCAGCCCCATTTATTACTTGAATATTTGTTGAGTGTCTTCAGGAAAAGATGAGCCGAGAAACAATCCCACAAAATACTTTGGGATAGCTACTTTAAATTTTACTAAAATTCTATTGTTCATTTAATCAATCAAACCTATATCACTTAAGCATTACAATTTCAAATATCCACCTGAGGGATAAGGAAATATACTAATATCATGAATAAACACACATTAAAAACACTACATCATGCATTTCAGTAAGCAAAATGATCTGAAATTTTGAAATCTTTAATTTGCACCCTATCTTATTAACAACACTACGGTATACTACTTGATAACTCAAACAACGAACACAAGCGACTCCTACAAAAATTAAAGGCACATAATGAAGGTTTTGTGCTCAATATTTGCTAATGTTTTGACCAACTCGAACTATAGAAAAAAAACATTATGTAAAAATATGACGATTGAAGGCCTGCTACTTCAAAGACAGTTTAGTTTGGCTCTTTCAAGTGTAGTAGTCAACAGTCCATGCCACATTCATGCTAGGCAAACACAAAATAATATTTTATAAAGAAGTAGATAATAAAATAATCCCCAGTTAAGAAAAGACTTATTTTATGCAAAACTAATGTAATGTAATGTAATGTTAGATGACTAATTAAGTCGTCACATAATGTAGTCTATAGTAGCGGTAGCTGGTATTAGAACTTTTTATCATCCCGGCGAACTAATGCAGACAGAGAGACAAAATTAAGATGATTTGTCATGTTAGAGGTTTGGAGTATGGCCTTAAATTCCCAAGAGCATCAAACTCTAAATGTTACTAAAAGGCTATTGTTCATTTTTTTCGATCAAACATATTTGATTTAGGTATCACAATTTCAAAGAACCACCCGAGGGACAAGGAAATATACTAATATCATGAAGAAAAACACATAGTTATACACTTATACTATGCATTTCAGCAAGCACGATGATTTGAAAATGTGAAATATCTATAATTTGCACTCTAAGTTATCAACATCACTTTACACTATACTCCTTCATAACTCAAATAACGAACAAAAGGCACTCATACGTAGCTCAGTATGGATTATGCACTGGGGCTGCTGTTTTTATTCATACTGTTCTACAAGTCATCAAATGATAATCCTACTCTGAACAATTAAAACAATTGAGAACAATTTAATCTGAACACTAAGTCATCAAAAAACGCTTTACAAATGAATCCAAACCACTAGAACTTAAAAAAGGGAAAAACAATAACAAACAAGGAAAGAACACGCACCTGGAGAAGCGTGAGGGCGTGAGGTTGCGGGGAAAATCGTCGGTCAATGGAAGAAGGAATGAAGATGACTGTGGCCCTTGAATTTCCCGATCCATAACTTCCTCTGGAGAGGAGAAAGGGAAATTAAACAGCTCCATAAATGACAGAGTAATGAACACTTGAACAAAATAAAAAGAAAAATTACAAAGAAACGCTGAAGAAGACGAAAGGATGCGAGCCAGAGGGGATGTGCGACGGGATGCCCTCGTGCGGCTAAAGACGAAGCCTGAGTGCATGTTGCCGAACCGAAAATCCCTGGCCTGGTTTGCGATTCTATGGAATGGAATGTTCGGTTCGGCTAAAGAGGAAGGGAGAAGCCAAACGGTGCTGGCCGGGCCTTGGAATATTTAACGGAGACAATCGGGCCGTAAGGAGATAAGCCAAGTGAAATTGAAATTGTACAAACATTTAAACATTTTGTATATGTCAATTAAGCTTAGAATACCACCAACAAATTTTTTATACCCACAATACCTTAACCCTCATTCAGCTTTATTAGATTGTAGAGATATTGTTGCTTATTCTGATGCTGATTGGACCAGTTATCCTGACCGCAGTCGATGTACGATTGGTTATGCTATTTTTCTAGGCACGAATCTCATTTCGTAGGGCTCTAAGGAGCAGCCCACGGTTTAAAAATCATCTTCAGAGGCTGAATACCATGTCATATCCTACACAATTCAGGATACTCTTTTTATTTGTACTTTTCTTGTCGATATGAGTATCGCTATTCCCAGTCATGCTCAGCTCCGTTGTGATAATGTTTTTGCTTCTTATCTTGCTGTGAATCCTATGCAACAAAATCATAATAAGCACATCAAGATTGATTATCACTTTGCTCGAGATTGTGTTGCTCATAGATCTTGTGGTCAAATATGTTTCTACTCAGTTACACTTACCTAACATTTTTACTAAAAAATTATCTAGTCAGCGTTTTAAATGCATGAGCGTTGTTTCCCCTGCACAGATTGAGGAAATAACCAAAGAAAAAACAGAAATAAGATGAACGAAATAGCCAGAGCTTGTGCAACACACAATGTCCTTAAAACGTATTTGTTGCCTCCCACGGTATAAGACCGTTGCAACGATCATTTCGTAGGATATGGTGGGTAACGAGAAACCATCTAAGCACACAAACGACTGTTCCGGCGAATGAGAACAAAGGCAGAAAACTCAAGAAGTTTTCTGGAAACGGGAGGTGTGTTTTTGCTTGAAAACTACGTGAACACTTTGTTGTGTGTTGTGTTGTTGCAAAGCACATGCCAAGTACTTATAGGGAGATATTTGTTGTGTGTTATGGCGTATTAATGGACTTGAGCATCAATGACCAGTCCGTTAGGCATTGATTCGTTCATGAACTGTCCATTTAATGCTGCATAATGGAGAAGAACTTTGGGCATTTATTGCTGTAACAGTTTAACAACAACCTTCTTCTGATCGTTGGACAACAAGCAGCAGCCTGCCAGTAGCGGACTGTTATGGAGCAAAAATAGAAACGTTACGGGAAGAAACAAAAATCAAATCTTATCTTTAGAAGATAAATTTTCATATGGCATTCGTGTCCGCATGTCGCCCATGCGGGCAAGTCACGATTTTTTTTCTCCGTTTTCAAGATTTGATCCCCCCCTCCCCACCCCCACCCCTCGCGTGAAGAGAGCCTTTCCACCTGGGAATCTTACCTCTTTCATAGAGGGTCCCCTTTATAAGGGGGGTGAAAATCACTAGTTTTCTCCATTTCAACGAGTGAACTTCGAGAATCAATTTCTCATTCACCCGTTATCCGTTTTGAGTGTACCACATATCGAATTGAAGCCCTTAACAAGGAAAATCCGAAACCACTTTGACTCGATCTAAATTAGAAGTGGACCCCACTCTAAATATTGCCCAAAATTGACCATTTAATACAATTTTAACACATTTTCTAACAATCCCCCACATGAATGAAAATTGATTTCCGAGACTTAAAAAGACACAAAGATAGGAGGACATGTTGTGTTCACAGGATGATCCCTGCATACGGAGAGGTAGGTTTAATTCCTTGAACCTTCCGCTGTAAAGACATGTTTATTTACTGGCTGTCAAGTAGACTCGATGTCCTTGAACTATACTGTCATCGTGTAAACATTGACTTATCTTTACATAGGAATCCTCCAACTTTGTTTCGTTCTCATAGGTGTGCCTGTTTTGGCCATGGGTCACCGTCCTGGTTCTGCAAGAGTTTCTAAAGAATTGAGCCTTAACATTTCTCCTTTGAAACGATCATTTTCTCTCTCATATAGGCGATTCTTTCACGAGTATCCCACATACTCTTCAAATGTTATCAATCAGATCAACATTTTAGAATCATTAAAGCAAACATTTTTGCTAACCTCGTGCGACAGTCACTGTTTCAACGAGGAGTGGGTAGGATCCCGGACCCCCACAATGACCATCCTTACGCTCTATAATTTAGTTGTCCATTTTGAACCTAGGACCAACTAGGTTGGGTATCCACTATAGAACTTTTCAATTCACAGGATTTAGTCCCATTCCTCGTGACAACTTCTCCTACAATTCTCTATCCAATGCCTTGGTTAGCGGATCCACTATGTTATCCTTTGACTTCACATACTCAACTGTGATAACATCTGTTGTGAGGAGTTATTTAATGGCATTATGTCAACGACGAACGTGTCTAGACTTACCATTGTGCTTGTTGCTCTGTACCCTTCCAATTGCCGCTTGATAATTGACGTGCACTGTAACACCGTCCCCAAATATATTCACTTTTATGTAAATAATGTATTGAACCTTATCAAAGGATTAATGAATTTACGAAGTTGTAAATTTTTATTATTTCTTTCGCGTGAATAGTAAATTGCACATGGGACCCACATCGGGAGCGGGGGGCCGCCCGACACTCCCGAGACCATATATTTTATTCATCTTGGTCTAGATAATAAATATATATTGGTGGATATTTCATTTGGGCCATGGAAAGGCCCGGAGTTGACCGATTGGTCAAAAGAAGCCCAAATTACCGGTACTGGTAATTTAACAGATAACAGCCCGAAAATGAATTTCGGAGACTTCTAAATCAATGTTTTGGAATATATATTATTTCAAAAAGCCATTACGATTGAGAACACGTAATATATTTTATTGGACCCGATAAAATAAAATATATTTAAAACAGTCCGAAAAAATACAACTTTCGGGACCAATTGTACACTTCGGGACGAAAAGGGTTGACCTCCCACATGGGTGGGGGCCAACCCACGTTTTTTGCCACTCAAATGGAGGGCTTGTCCGGCTGAAGTAATAGAGAGGCATGGGAGAGGTGTGTGTGAAGTGAAATAAAAGGCATCAAACAAAAAGAGGTGGACCCCCATGTATACTCATTGATCAATGAGACAAAAGGCAACCCCCCATCCCCCTCTCCTCATCATTTTCGGCCATCCTTCATCCAGCAAGAGCAAAAGAGCTTCCCACTTTCCTTCTCCATTGTTGAAGAGAGCTCATCAAGGAGGAATCACCCAAAAAGGAGCTAAGGTGCTAAAAGTGTGAAATAATTAAGGTAATGACCTTATTATAACTTTTTCTTTATTTTTCTTCTACCATATGAGATATATATCATGTGAAGAATCCTTAAGAGGGTTATACATGTTATAAGTATGGATTAATGGGTTGGAAAGTGATTCTATGTCCAAGAACGGACTTAGAAGCTAAAACGACCGGTTCACCGGAAAATAACCTTTTTGAGGTTATTTGTATTAATATGGGTTTTATGATTATAAAACCTTGTTAGGCACTTGTAAAGGGTATTTCAAGTGATTTCACAAGGTTGGAAAAGTCGCCGGAGTTGTCGCCGGAGTTGACCAAAAGTCGCCGGAGTTTCACCGGAGTCCAACCAAGAAGGGTTGAACTTCTTAACGCTAGTTCAAGGTGAGTGGACGGCTTAATATCTTATAACTTTTGGGTTAATTATGAGATTACCTAAATAAATGTTATATGTGTTCATAATGATGTTTAAAAGATATTTAAACATGTGATTAGCCAACATTATTAAGTTGTATGAAAAGAATTAATTGTTTATACATGAAATATGATATGAGGAATTATATAAAATGCATATTAGCTTGAAGTGTAAAAGGAGCACAAATGAGTATTATTAACTTAATTATATGATGATTTAGTTAATAAGTGTAAGATTTGAGATGGCGGTCAACAACAACGTTGACCGATGGATAATGGATTAATTAATATCGATTGGTATTAATTAATTATACATTTACATAATTGCATGGCTTTGCATGGAATGTGATACATAAGTTTTATGTATTGAATTAGTTATGAATGACTAAATATGATATAGACTCTATCTAGTGTGATATGTGGTAAGTCATAGGTCGGGGGGAGTACCCAAGGATCGGGCGGTTATCCTCAAAACTCGGTTATATAGGGTGGAGTACCCAAGGATCGGGCGGTTATCCTCAAAACTGGGTTATATAGGGTGGAGTACCCAAGGATCGGGCGGTTATCCTCAAAACTCGGTTATATAGGGTGGAGCACCCAAGGATCGGGCGGTTATCCTCAAAACTCGGTTATAGGGTGGAGTACCCAAGGATCGGGTGTGTATCCTCAAAACTCATAGATTACATTTAATGATCTAGGACCGGGCGGTGTCCTTATGATAATTTACTTGAACAAGGAGGAGTCCTATACACTCATAGGCATATGGGTGGGTTGGGATTTAAGTCAAGGATATTGGCTACTATTATTTTCCCAAATAAACAATAACCTACGGGTCGGGTATTTCGAAGTGTATGTATACTACTCCCTCCGTAACATTTATATCTTCCCACTTTCCTTTTTTGGATGTAACATTCATATCTTCCCATTTCATAATCTTCCAATCATACCCTCAATATTTTTAAAAATAATACACTATTACACCTACTTTTTTTGGATTTATCCTTCATTCCAACACATTATTTCACTATCTTCCCATCATACCCTCAATAATTTATATCCTCTTTCACTATTCTTAATCTACCTACTTTTCAAATGGGAACATATATATGTTACGGAGGGAGTAATATGTATTTCGAACTTGGGGAAAGGACTATACGTATATGTATCACCCTATGATTGGGTCTTATACTTGAAACGCTAGTTATTCTATATTTAGCCTGCTACTCGCTCGGTACTTGTACTGACCCCTTCGGGGCCCCCCACCATTTTCAGGTTGAAGCTAGGGCTTGCTACTTGCACCTTCTCGAGGGTGGTATCAAATCAGGAAGACGTGGTTCGTGCTTCCTTATTTTCTTTCAAACTACCGTACACTTGCTCATGGATGTTTATTTTACTATAAACTATTTTTGGGGCTTGCACGCCCATGTTATTGGCCGGTTGTGGCTCATGACTTACCGTTGAATATTTCCGCTATTCATTGGTCTAAATGTGATGTTGTTATGTATGTTTACTACTGAGTATCGATGGATTGTTTTCTCGAACGCCTTGTGTAATTAAGTGAGGTTGACTCGTGGGTGACGTCACTTAGTTATACGGCGGTTGTACACGCGCTTGGATTGCGGTTTGGGGCGTGACAATTAAGTGGTATCAGAGCCATCTCAGTTCTAAACTATTTTTGGGGCTTGCACGCCCATGTTATTGGCCGGTTGTGGCTCATGACTTACCGATGAATATTTCCACTATTCATTGGTCTAAATGTGATGTTGTTATGTATGTTTACTACTGAGTATGGATGGATTGTTTTCTCGAACGCCTTGTGTAAGTAAGTGAGGTTGACTCGTGGGTGACGTCACTTAGTTATACGGCGGTTGTACACGCGCCTGGATTGCGGTCTGGCAAGCAGGGAGGGTTCGTTGCACGCACGGCCGTGCGTGCCACCCAGGCACGCCGTGCGTGGACCCCCAACCCCCGAAAATTTATTTTTTCGCCCCGTTCTCCTACGTTTGGACCCCCCGTTTGATTCCAAACCTTAGTATTAACTTAATAACCTCCTAAAGACGTGTAAAAACATTAGAAAATGTATCTTACATGGTGTATAAATGTAGGAACATTATGGATCAATGGTAGGTGTGCGAGGATCCTCATCGATACCGGGGCACAACGCTCATTTGTGAGTGAGGCGTTCGCCGAGGGCCTTGACGTGCCATTGACACCTATGACGCAAACGTTGCTAGTCTCCACACCGTTAGGGGACGATGTGGAGAGAAATCATTACTATCCATCATGTGAGGTAGAGGTGACGGGTCAACCCTTGACTTGTGATTTCGTACCTCTAAGCATGTTGGAGTTCGATGCAATCCTAGGAATGGATTGGCTTGAGAAGCACCATGCTCGAGTAGATTGCTACACCAAGGTGTTGGAGCTCGAGGATGATCAAGGAAACACGCTATGTTTCGAAGGAGATCGGGGGAAATCAAATGCTTGCATCATATCCGTGATGAGAGCACGGAAGATGATGAGAAAGGGGTGCCACGCATACCTTGCTTACGTGGTGGACGATACGAAGAAGGAAGTCGACATCAAAGATGTACGAGTAGTATGCAAATACCCGGATGTCTTTCCCAAAGACCTACCGGGGCTCCCACCCGATAGAGAGATTGAATTTGTAATTGAAGTGGAGCCGGGAACCAAACCCATTTCGATTCCTCCTTATCGAATGGCACCGGCCGAACTTCAAGAGTTGAAGGTCCAACTACAAGAATTATTGGACAACGGATTCATCAGACCCAGTCATTCACCGTGGGGGGCACCCGTACTCTTCGTGAAGAAGAAGGATGGTACACTAAGAATGTGTATTGACTACCGACAGTTGAACAAGGTCACCATCAAGAACAGGTATCCCTTACCGAGGATTGATGACTTGTTCGACCAACTTCGAGGGGCAATAGTATTCTCGAAGATTGATTTGAGGTCGGGGTATCATCAGTTGAAGATCAAGGAAAGTGACATACCTAAAAGTGCGTTCCGCACTAGGTACGGTCACTACGAGTTTCTTGTGATGTCATTTGGTTTAACCAACGCACCGGCGACATTCATGGACTTGATGAACCGTGTGTTTAGTGAATACTTAGATCAATTTGTGATAGTATTCATTGACGACATCTTGATATACTCCAAGAGCGAGGAAGAGCACGAACACCATTTGAGGCTTGTACTTGATCGGCTAAGGGAAAAGCAACTCTTCGCCAAGTTCTCCAAATGCGAATTTTGGCTCAAAGAGATTGGTTTCCTCGATCATGTCATATCCGGTTCGGGTGTTGCTGTGGATAACGCCAAGATAAAAGCGATCATGGATTGGGAGAGACCTAGGAATGCGAAGGAGATACGTAGTTTCCTTGGCTTAGCGGGATACTATCGTAAATTTGTTGAAAAATTCTCCGTATTGGCGTCTCCATTAACGAAGCTCACAAAGAAAGGGGCCAAGTTCATATGGGACGACAAGTGCGAGAAGGGGTTCCTAGAATTGAAGAAACGACTTACCGAAGCACCAGTCCTCGCCCTACCCATACAGGGGATAGGGTATGATATCTATAGTGATGCTAGCATCCAAGGGCTTGGATGTGTACTAATGCAAAATGGTAAGGTGATTGCCTATGCTTCTAGGCAATTGAGGAAACACGAGGTGAACTACCCTACTCACGATCTAGAGTTGGGGGCGGTAGTGTTTGCATTGAAGATTTGGAGGCATTACCTCTACGGGGAGACGTGTCACATTTATACTGATCATAAGAGCTTGAAGTATGTATTCACTCAGAAAGAGTTGAATATGAGGCAAAGGAGATGGATGGAGTTGATCAAGGACTATGACTTGATCATCGACTATCATCCCGGAAAGGCCAACGTAGTGGCCGACGCACTGAGCAGGAAGAGTACGTCAGGAACGTTACTTACTTGTCTGCAGGCATTGAGGGCACGCGTGGAGGTGTCCACGTGCGGGGCTCTCATTGCTCAATTTGAGGTTAGGCCTACCCTATTGGGCGAGATTAGTCGAAGTCAAGCCATGGATGAGGAATGTCAGAAGATCCGTGAAAGGATCCTTGAAGGACCCGTTGAGAACTTCCGAGTACGTGATGACGGTCTATTATTGTTTAAGGATCGTGTGTGCATACCAAAGAATGAAGAACTCCAGAAGTCTATACTCGAGGAGGCTCATTCTTCAGCTTATGCTATGTGTTGGTCCCGTTTAATATGGTAATCAGTCTAGAGGGGGGGGGGGGGGGGTGAATAGACTGATTGATTTTTCAAATTTTCTCTAAGTCCAAAATGACTTATCAGAGAAGGTCTGATTCTGGTGACAGAGAAAGGCTGGTTCTGATATCAGAACTGGCCTTGGCAGCGGATTCTGATCTGTCCGGGTAGCCTCAGAAACACTAAGGCAGATGCCTTTCTGATAACTCTGAAAACAAGATCTGCTGAACACAGATTCCAAGTCTTAGGGTTAATCAGTTAATATCCTAAGTGCAGAAGTAAAAAATTGCAGTAAAGTAAATGACACCGGATATTTTTATAGTGGTTCAAGGAACAACTCGTTCCTCTAGTCCACTGTTCCACTAGCTTTGAAGTAGATCGGTTACAAAGCTAATTCCTAGCACTTAAGAAGCACTCCTCGTCTTCTTCAAGTCTAGATGTCACCCGGGATGCAATCCTGCTTCCTGATGACTGGTCCTTTCACTCAGCTTCCCGGAAGTATCACCACTTCACTGCTGCAGTTACTTGGACGCCCTTCTTTTCAGAAGATGTTCTGAATACAGAGTTTTCTCCAACTTGCTTCGTCACAAGAGATGTGTAGTTGAAGTTCTTGAAGTGTTGAAGAAGCAGGATGAACTTTGCTGAGTGTTGGGATTTGAGATTGAGGATATTAGAATCTTCCCGACGTAAGCTCGTCTTGTTGAAGTTTGTAGGATTTGAATCTCAAGAGAGCTTGAGTTAGATGAGCAATAGCTGTAGCAAAGTTACTTTTCCTGTTCTTCGGTGAGTAGCTTATATACTGGGGTTGTCTGCCCGTTGGAGGAGGAGACAACTGCATTAAATGCGCGTACAGTTGACTTGACCGCCGTTTTGGAAGGTTTCTAATTTTATAATATATCTTCCCGGATTCCTTGGTCAATCATTTGCAATCAATCCTTCAGCGTATCAGGCTCATTTAATGTGCATTAAATGCTTTCCTTTCATGCACAGTCTTCTAGCCGTTGGATGTTTTTACCCGTTGAATTTATAGCTGTTGGATGTTGCTTGAAATCTTCTACGTGTCAGTCGGGCTCTGATCAGGCTCTTCTGATATGTTGGATTCTGATGGCTTTCTAATGAGTTGAGTTCTGATGGTCTTCTGATCTCTGATAGAGCTCTAACTCTGACTCTGATAGGTCCGCTGATGAGTACCTCTGATCTGTAGTTCTCATCGGCTTATCAGATGTAAAAGTTTATCAGCAACTCTCATGGTGCAACTCTGATGGACTTCTGCTGAGAGAACTCTGATGGAGCAGTTCTCATAGAGCAAGTCTGGTCGAGCAGTTCTGATGCACTTCTGATCTGATCCAAAGTAGAGCAACTCTGATAGCCGACTACACTTATACTTACAATTGAAAATTCTAAGACATAAAATCTAATTGGGGGTACTCTAAAATTCTAATCTAATTATCCTAGCATCATCAAAATCTAATTACATTTATTCCTTACAATTTCCCCCTTTTTGATGATGCCAAAACCCTTAAACTATTTCCAGAGAAGTGCCTTTCACCATAAAAAAAATAAAGTTAACAACTTTCATTACAAATCTTGGTGGGCACTTAGCATAGGAAAATAGCAAGAGTAAGATGCAATCAATCATGCAATAATCAAATAAGGAATAACACAATTGGTATCAGAGCATAAATAATCAGAGTGCAAAATAGACATACTTTGAAATTACCATGCAAAATAGAGGCAAGCTGGTTATCTTATTAATGAAGGATATTTAAAGCAACAAGAGGATAGAGTTTAGATATCTTCCTCTTCTAGATCAGCTTCCTTTGCTTCAATTTCCTTCAGATCAGCATTGACCCTAGCTCTGATTGTAGCAAGATTCCTGGGATTCTGATATTCTGACCAAGCGGGTTCAAGCTTGCAATCCAGATAATTTCTGATGGCTTCTGAAAAGTCCTTGCCAGGGATCACTTTCATTCGCCACCAGTCTTCTGCTTCTTGCATAGAGCCACCATGGTTAATGATTATCAGCCCATCTTTATCTAGAATCAGATTCTCCTTTTGATGGGGAGTCATGTGTTTCTTCATTTCTTGGAACTGGGCTGCATCAGGCTTGGCTAGGTCACTGTTGAGCCACTGGGCAAGAGTGAAAGTGGAGGCTGTCTTCTTCCCTTTCTTTGATCTTGGAGGAGTTGGTCTCTGAATACCAGCAGCAATCTGCTTCTGCCTGGTCTTCTCAAAGTAGATAGCAGGATCAGGGGTATCAGAGATAGGCTGAGCTCTGGTGCGTGACCCTTCTGCAGCTCTGATCGCTCTAGCAGGTTCTCTGATTTCTTCCCCCTTTTTGGCATCAACAAGATCACCAAGCAGGAGTTGAACCTTAGAGAATTCAGTTGCTTGACTTTCTTTCAATGCTTCAAGGGTCCCTGGCAGAGTCCCAGTGACAGAGGCCAGACCCTCAATGATTTCCTTCTGTTTAGTGACTGCAGACTGAATATCTTTCGTTGTAGCTTCAAGGAGAGTCAGCTTGTGATCTCTGTCCTTTCCACTGTTGATCAACTTGATGGATAGTTCTTTATTGTCTTTGCTCAGTCCTTCTACAGCCTGAATCTCTTCACGAGCTTTGTCAGAGGACCACTGGAGATCATCAATGGAGTCAGAGATGTCTTTGATTGCTTTATCCTGCTCTTCAATGGCTTTGGAGTGATGAAAGAGGACAGCATTGATTCCATCCACTTCCTTAGCAATGTTTCCTAGATTCTCGGCAGTTTTGTCCTTGTGAACCTCAAAGGCTGTGGCAATGATGCCTACATGTTTCAGTAGCATATTGATGCCTTTGGTGAGATGTTCACTGACTCTGGTGAGATGAGCATCAGACTCATACTCAGCATCCAGAAGCTTTTCCATTCCTTTGGCTATTTGGTTCCCAGCCTGCTCTAAGTCTGTCATGAAATGTTGAAATGGAGCAGAACCTGTGACAAGAGTTTGCACTGGCATCTTTGCTGGAGAAGATGATTGCTGTGTAGGAGCTGGTGGAGAGTTCTGATGATTGGGTTGCTGATGAGGAGAAGTCTGATGAGATTTAGGGGATTTCAGATGTTGTGGAGCAGGAGGAGGTGAAGGGGATCGGTTTCTGATGGGTGTAAAGGATTTGCAGGGTGAAGATTGTTTAGGTGAGGGCTTCTTGGGTGAAGGGGTTGGGGTTCTGTGAGGAGAAGGGGATTTCTGATGGATTGGAGATGGGGTTTTCTTGGGTGATGGAGTGGGTGAATGTGATGGAGGTTGGGGTGAAGGTGGGGGAGTGTATTCAGGTGTTGTGGGTGTAGGGAATGGAGATTTGGGAGGTGAGGTATGGGGTTCTGGTGAAATTTGAAGAGGTGGAGATGGAGAGTTAGGAATTACCTGAAGAACTGTTTCTTCAAACTGAGAGGTTCTCCATTCTCTGATCAGATTCATCATGGCCAGAGACACATCATTTGCAGTAGAGGGTTCACCTTCTGCACCTGGAATGGGTTTCATCTTGATCAATGATTCCTGCCTTTTCTTCTCCATCAGCCAGGTATCAAAGGCATCTCTCTCATGATCCTCCAGAGCTTTGACATGCTCTTCTGGTGAGCTGGTCATCAGAACAACCTTGCCTTTGCAGTTGGCTTTCTTTTTCTCTAGTATAGCTTCTAGAAATTCAATGTCAAAGCATTGTGAGACATCATCTGTTCCCACCCATTTGAGGACTTCAACTTCCTCAGCTTCATAGTAGGGAAAGAATTGAAGAATCTTCTGAAGAGGACCCATTCTCCATTCTCTCCAAGCTAGCACACGCTCAAACTGTCTGTCCAGAGCAGCATGAAATTCTGATGTAGTGTCCTTGATTGGAGATGCTTGATGGTCTGTAGGTAGGTCCATCAGAGGCAAGTCTGGTAAAGAATCCGGCTCAGGTTCCCCCTGAGTTTCTGACTTCTGAGGAGAAGAGCTTTCTTTCTTCTTCTTCTTTTCTCTAGATGGAGAGGGAGATTCATCAGAGTCACTTCTGATAACAGCTCTTCGTCTCCTCTTTTGCCTCTGCATTTTGGGAGGTGAGATCTTAGGAGCCAAGTCTGATTCTTCCTTTTCTGATACATCCTCCTCTGATGCCATCTTCTCAGAGGAGGCAATTTTAGAACTCTGATTAGACTTCTTCTTAGGAGTTTGAACAGGTTTTTCCTTGGACTGCCCAGAGGTGGTTGCAGCCTTTTTAGAGGTCTTCTTGGGGGCAACCTTAGGTTTTTCAACCACGTTCTTCCTGTTCTGCTCCTGCTTGCTCGTT